CTCACATACATGTGCACACATACCAAACATGAGCTATTTGCACGACTCTTAGGAAGCCGAAATGGTCACTAGTTGCCTCAGACTTGGACTGACACATCTCCTGTTTTCCTGCATCAATCCCAGGGGAGAAAGGGGAAGCAAAGAGCCTCAGTTCAGCTTCCCATAGTGCTCACAGTCCGGAAACACAGATGTGTGTGCAGAGTTGCACAGCGGTTCCACGTGGCAGGCTTCAGGGCTGCAGGAGCTGGAAGCCCCGCTAAGCTTGATTTCCCTTCCCGCAGGTGGACCTGAGCTTCAGCCCAGCCCGAAGTCTCCCTGCCTCACAGGCCCATCTGCGTGTCACAGCTTCTCCTCAGTCCCTCTGTGGCCTGAGAGCAGTGGACCAAAGCGTGTTGCTCCTGAGGCCTGAAGCTGAGCTCTCCCCTTCCTGGGTGAGTCCCCATCAGCCTCTGCCCAAGGGAGGCCAACAAGAGGCTCTGAGCAGGAGGAGGCCCTGGTGCTGATAAAGCCGCCATCCATCACCAGGGCTCTTTATGTAAATACACTGCGATTGATGCTAAGGGAGTCTCTAGGGAGCCCTTCACTGTACAACCAGAGGAACACGTCAAAAACATGAGCCAGAAAACTCCAGACAAACCAGGAAGTGATGCAGTCAGTGAGTTGCAAAGCTTGTGTGTGACCCAGGCCCTCTGTGTCAGGACAGCATCCTCCTACCCTAGGAGTGGCTTGTGCCCTTCACAAGCTCATGATGAGGTGACGCTGCCTGTGGGAGCTGAACGAAAGTGTGTACACATGGAATCTTGCACATCTCAAGGGTCCCCCAAATAAGTAAAAGACATAATGACTTAAAGTTTTAAATTTTGTAATACAAGGTTCTTAACTTGCTTTGAAAATTCTCAGAAGCACAACTGAAACCCTAAACTATGTCCAGTGTCTTGCCAAGTTAAAGCTAGTAAACCTCTTCTTTATACTGAAATAAGAATAGGATTTATTAGGAATAGTTACATGATCACTGTAATAGCTTAAAATGTTGATCGACTCTGCCTAATAGCATGTTTTCAAATCTAAAGGACATACGTGAATTTAAAATCAGAATCTTTAGTCCAGATAATGGTGGAAACTTACCAGTTTTAAAGTAATGTGTGAGTTAAACTGAAATCTAAATTTATTTGAGATTTTATGACTCACATGCAGAAAATGCTTTAGAAAGAATACTGCTTAAATGTTTTTCTTTTTGAGTCTGACTCTCCCCAAATCTATTAAATAAGAGATTTCTGGAGCAAATTGTTTCAGCTGACACACATGGGCAGTTAGTTAAAAAAATGTGCATACTACCTGAAGGGTTATGACAAAAAACAAGATGGCGGTCCCCTGCTCCCTGCACTCTGCCCTATCCATACTTTGGGAGCCTGTCCTTTCGATGATTACAGCCATTTCTTGAAGAGTCAAGTGATTTGCAGTGAGCAAACTAATCACATTCTTTTCATGTCTTCCAAGAAAGAGGGCCTCCATGTCTCCTGTGTCTTTCAGATCTACAATCTGCCAGAGATGCAGCACAAGGACCTTACTCCAAGATCCCACCAATTGTCTCCAGACTATATTTGTTCTAAGGTTAGAGATAGGACTGTTGATGATGTCACATACTCAAGCATAAATGACAAGGAAGTTTATGACTACATAGAGGTAAGCCATAATATCCATAAACATGCTGTCTGTGAATTATTTAGGTTTAATGAAACGCTTTATTGGTAAAGAATTTTAGAGTCAGACTGGGATCTAAGTCACTGTCAGGCCACCCACATTACATGTGGGTGATGGGTTCAATCCCAAGCATTCCAAAAACTGCATTTTGGAAAGTGCCCATTCTAGGCTAACTCTTTCTCTCTATTGACAAAAGTGGCACAGAGTGAGTGAGTGACTTTTTATTTTTGTTACTCTGGTTTTTTGAGACAAGCTCTTACTTGTGGCTCTAGCTGTCCTAGAATTGACTTTGTTGACCAGGCTGACCTCAAATGAGAGAGATCTGCCTTCCTATGCCTCTGCTTCTGCCTCCCAAATGGTGGGACTGAAGACGTGCACCACCATGCTTGACTGAGTGACTTTTTAAAGTAACACCATTGTATCAGAAAGAAGGCCCACATTCAGGCCTCACTGTGAATTCTGTGATCCTCGATGCCCTCTCTAAAGAGCACGAAAAGCACAATTGGAATAGAAATTCTACGTGAACATGTAAAACTATATCTGGTTTAGTTACTGTAATTTTTATAAATACTGTTTTTTCAGAATTTTGAGACATTTTGCTTGATTAATAATTTCCTTTCTAGGACACAGGTTTAGAGGCCTTCACCAACTTGAAGATCAGACATCCTATAGAATGTATGCGTGTTGCATATTATGGAATAGAAGGTAAAATAAATCAGCTTGTATTTTAAGAAAAAGTAAATGTGAATTATATGTCAAAGATGGCAAAATAAAATTGTTGCGCACATAGAGCATCCAAATAAGAAAGAACACAAACTTACCTGAGAAAAATGTGCCCAGATGTATGCTGGTACTATAGGGAAGTTAAAGGCTGGAGGCCCTTCCTTCAGTGTGGAAAAAAAGACAAAGTGCAGTAGTTCCTATAATAGAGAATCATTGCATCTGAAGAAGTTTTGTAGGACTGTGATGAGAGGTGAAGAGAATTCCCTAAGTATTAGGGATGAAGGAGAGAAGGAAAAATCAGGCATTGCAAATAAATGTCAGGAGGATAGTAAATAAATAAATAAATAAATAAATAAATAAATAAATAAATAAATAAATAAAAGCACCTGAGTCAAAGGCACATTCTCACTCCAATCTTCAACCAGCTAACCATTTCAAGGCTTTCCCTCTTCCTTTCATGGGAATCACTTCCAGGGTGGCCACACCATTTACATTCCCACAACAGCAAATGAGGGTCCCCCACACACATACCTGCCTGAACCTCCTTACTTTTCCCCCCCTCCCCCAATCTCCCTGCATCCTTCACAGCACGTGCTGACAGTTTTTTTTTTACTGCTCTTTGCTATCCTGACTGGGATGAGATGAAATCTCAAACTTGTTTTAACTTGCATTTCCCTGGTTGCATGCATGATGAACACTTTTAAAAGATATTTCTTGCTATTACAAATAAAGCTGCTACAAACATGGTTGAGCAAACGTCCTTGTTGTATACTTGAGCATCTTCTGGATATATGCCTAGGAGTAGTATAACTGGAACTTGAGGTAGCACTATTCCCAATTGTCTGAAAAAGCGCCAGATTGATTTCCAGAGTGGTTGTACAAGTTTACATTCCCACCAGCAGTGGAGGAGGGTTCCCCTTTCTCCACATCCTCTCTGGCATGTGTTGTTACTTGAGTTTTTGATCTTAGCCATTCTGATGGGTGAAAGGTGAAATCTCAGGGTTGTTTTGATTTGCATTTCCCTAATGACTAAGGACGTTGAACATTTAAGTGTTTCTCTGCCATTCCATATTCTTCTATTGAGAATTCTGTTTAGCTCTGTACAACATTTTTAATTGGATTAATTGATTTGTTGTTAACTTCCTGAGTTCTTTATATATTCTGGATATTAGCCCTCTGTCAGAGATAGGGTTGGTGAAGATCCTTTACCAGTCTGTAGGCTGTCGTTTTGTTCTGACAACAGTGTCCTTTGCTTTATAGAAGCTTTTCAGTTTCATGAGGTCCCATTTATTGATTGTTGCTCTTAGAGCCTGTGCTGTTGGTGTTCTGTTCAGGAACTTGTCTTCTGTGCCAATGAGTTCTGTCACCAGCTTTAAATCTTTATATTTCTTGTCAATAGAAATTCAAACCAATGTTTTGAATAATAAACTTCCTAGTTCCGATCCAAGAGTTTGTACTTATATCTCTTTCAGTTTTTATATAAATTGAAAACCTATTAAAATAATGAGTTAATCCTACCGGTCCAGAAAAAGAAAAACCACTTCAAGAATATCTCTGCTGATAATGTAGACATCATTCAGCTCTTGTTCCGATTCTCATTGTAGCCAAAGGACCTGTTTCCTGGGAGATAGGTGTATGGCTCTCCATAACTCCTAGGGGGAACATTGTATTTATAAACATTCCCTGACTATCCAACCCAAGATAAGATGCATCATGCTTCCTTCTAACTCCAACTACACTCGCTGATGTTTTCTCCAAGATTTCATAATTCCTGCTTTTGAGAAAGATGTTACCCACTCCCCCAAAATGAGTAGTTCAGTGCATAATTTCCAGTGTAATTGTAATACTATTTAGCAGCCAAGAAAAAACTGAAAATTAAGCTACATTCACATTGCACATTGGTTCCCATTGATTCAAGTACCATGTTCATTTCTTCCATTACACCTTCATAGGGTCTTTTACAATGTATGATCTTGTAGGTGCCAGTGATAACAGAGTCGTGACGACAAGTAAAAAGCCATTCCATACAGATCCACCACGTGAAGATCCAACTACTGAGACCTTTCGAAAATATTTTCCCGAAACCTGGATCTGGGATTTAGTCACAGTAAAGTAAATACTTTCCATTTGTATCATTTGGGCTGGGTATGAAATTTTTCTTTGTACTCTAGTATTTCTCTAATTAATTTCTATCATAAACAGAGGAAATGGCTAACTTAAAAAACACAGCATATCAACCCATCAATCATGAGATTTACATATTTCCACCACTCCTAGAAAATGTACATAAAATTATCGTGTACCATTTTGATGCTCAAAACCGTTCAGGAACACCGTGTTGAGTAGGGAGTGAGGCAGTCCTTCATGGAGTAGGCTAATAGACTCATACATACAGTAGACCATGGAAGTCATGAAGTTGTTGTATGGTATTTCAGGGATGGGAGTTCAGAGGTAACTTCAACTCTATGTTCAGATTTCCACTAACACAGATTGTAAGGTGACGTGAGCCTATGATCTGAATTGAAAAATTGAGACTACAAAAAATCCTTTTATTTTCCATCTGGAGTCCTGTTTGCACTGTTCACTTCCTATCACTCCTTTGAAGGACTGGAGGGATGGTATTTCATCATGACCATCTGTTATCATCTGAGAAATAACTAATACACCGGCTCCCTTTCTGTGCTTCACATTCTCACTCTCCCAGCTCCTCAGGTGTGGCTGAAATGGAAGTGACAGTCCCTGACACCATCACTGAGTGGAAGGCTGGGGCCTTCTGCCTGTCCAATGACACTGGACTTGGGCTCTCTCCTGTGGTTTCTCTCCAAGCCTTCCAGCCCTTCTTCGTGGAGCTCACGATGCCCTACTCTGTGATCCGTGGAGAAGCCTTCACGCTCAAGGCCACTGTGCAGAACTACCTTTCTACCTGCATCCGGGTGAACACCTTTCTGAATTAAGCATGTCTACAGGGGAAGAGGCAATTGGTGTATATAAACTGTAACAAGGAATTACATGAAAAGAAGGAAGAAAGGGAGGAAGGGACTGTACTGGAGCCAGCAGCCCTGGTTCCAAATGCTTAATCTCCAGACTCAAGCTAAATGCATACAGCAGAGTTTACCAAAATGGACGCTAAATAAGATATATTAGGTGATTTCTCCAGTATTAACACAGTACATTCTGTACTGACAGAGACAGGACACTCCATGTGGCCTCTGTATACAGTCAAAAGACACAGTCCACACAAGTCTATAAGGTTCTTGCAGGATACCCTATTACAATGGATTTTGCTCTTGTTAGAAGTAGGTGTAGATTTCAGAGGTACAGTGAATATTTCTACTACACTGAATATTTCTGTCATCAAAATGAAACAAAGATAAATAGAGAAATATATAATTGTCTCCATAATTGTTTGGGTAGATAATACATAGATGACAGCTAAATAACATTTTAGGCCTGTATGTGAATATGAAATCCATACAATCCCTCTGGGTCAGCTTATATGACATTTTCGGGACATGTTTTCCACCAGCCCCTCCTGCTCTCTTTCTAACACAAATCCCCTTCACACTCTTTCACCTACCTCCTCCATGAATGTTGTCCTTGCACAGTAATATCTTCGCTATTTCTTTTCCCTGTGGGACCACAGCTGGGTGTGCAGCTGGCAGCCTCTCCAGATTTCACAGCTGTCCTGGTGGAGAAAGCCCAAGATTCTTACTGCCTCTGTGCCAACGGGAGGCACACCACGTCCTGGTTGGTGACTCCCAAGTCTTTAGGTGAGTGAAAAGTTTGTAAGGGGACTCTATCCAGAAAGGGTGGGTGTAGGCAGGTCTCCTAAATTGCATCCTTCTCATTGGGTCCCCAAGGGACTCTCAGTCACTGCTGCTTCTGGCACGTGCTTACCCCCTTCATGAAGACAGGACAAGCCCTTGCGATGCTCAGAGACTGAGGATTCCTTGCAGATCTTGGGGATTTGGCAAACGCTGAGTTCCTGGCACATCTGAGCTCAGCTCTATGGACCATGTGTTTCAGGAAATGTGAATTTCTCTGTGACTGGAGAGGCACTGCAGTCCCCAGAGCCCTGTGGTTCTGAGGTGGCCACAGTCCCTGACACCGGGAGAAAGGACACAGTTGTCAAAGTCCTGATTGTTGAGGTGAGTAACCTCCTTGACTGGCAGTGTGCTGAGTCCAGAAAGTGAAGCAATGTTGACGATGTCTAGGTGAAAAATAAAAGATAGTAACATGTGACCAGGAGATGCTTCATGGCACGTGGCAAGCCCATGCTTTTCCATCAGCATGTGTTCTGTTTGTTTGTTTGTTTGTTTGTTTGTTTTTTCCCTTCCTAGTCTCTGAGCTGAAGCTTGAGGGATGGTCTATACCAGTTTATCTTCTTAGAGCTGTACCTCCTTCTTTCAATCCTATTCTGCACCCTCTCTTTTCATTGTTCTTTCCTTATTACTTTCTTTTTCACCTGGCATGTCCAAATTTAACATTTACGCCATTCCTGAAAGGTGGAAAATTAAATCATCTAATTCTAGCCCATGATCTCACAGGTAAAGAAATTGACACTCAAAAAAAAAAAGTCTCCAGAATTTTTGTGTTTTCACACTCAGTATTTTCTCATGTCTGAACTTTGTGTCTTTCCATCCAAGCCTGAAGGAATTCAGAAGGAGCACACCTTCAGGTCCCTGTTCTGTGCATCAGGTGAGGAGCCCTCAAGATGGCAGTAAGAGAGTAACCTGAGTTGTCTACTTAGGTCTCCAGCAATATTCCTGTAAGAAAACCAAGATCCTATGTACCTTGTAACCACTAAAGGATGAACAAAACTGAGTCTTAGAAATTATCAAGATTGTCACCTGCCTGATGTAGCTAAAAAGAGTATAGTCATAGTTCCACCTGGGACTTCAGAGTTCATTGTAGCCTTTTTCTTTAGAACACAGAAATCTTTTCATCTAGCCCATCTCAGTACTTAGAAACTTATAGGCAGGGAATAGCTAAGAAGAGGTCACAATAAAAATTTTCTAATAAAAAAAAATGGGGAGGGGGAGTCAGGGTGGAAATTTAAAGGATATCTTTGGAAGGCCAATCTTTGTATTGTTTTAGATCATAAATAAAAACAAAGATTTTTATGGCTGAATTAAATTCCACATATAAACCTAGTTCATCATGGTGTACACTTAGCTTAATACTTTTCTTTAATGGTTGTTTTTATGACTAGCTCTTTTATCCCTGCTCCTCACTAGAAGCAAAGGAAATACAGCAACATATCATACAAGGGAAAAGGAAAGCTCACTGTCCCCTGTGAAAGACAAGCATGAGAGCAGAGGCGTCCACTCCAAATAATGACTGTGTTGCCAGGACCTCTATTGATGTGTGGACATGGTGCCTGTTCAAAACATATAGTCAAAAGAACTTTTTAAATGGCACAATAGTTTAAGTTAACATAAAATCCATTATTATATGAAAGTTAACAAAAGATGAAATAAGGAAATTTCTCTGTAAAGGGGATAAATTAATGTAACAGTTACTAACATACTGGGTAGAAGAAAATTATCATACACTACTAAAATTCATTAAACGTTTTCCATGAAAGAGAGGCAAGAAAAAGGTCACTGGAGATTGTTGGAAAATGTAGCAAAAATAAGATAACAAACACCCTGTTCTTCCAACGGGTCAGTTCTGGTTCTCCTGATACTTGTGTTTTCACAAAGTACTCTATACATCATCTGGCCATAAAAAAGCCATCCATGACAGCTGTGTAGCCATGATCAGTGAAACCTCCAAGGCCACTCAGGATACTCAGGAAGAACAAAGCTGGCTTGGATTTATCCACCCCTCATTCTGACATACAGGAGTTCATTCACCCAGTGCATCATTTCAGGTTTCCATCGCTGTGATAAAACACCAAAAGCAGCCTGGTGAGGAGAGGTTTATTTCAGCTCTCCTGATCACAGTCCATCACAAAGAGAAGACAGAACAGGATTCGCAGGGCATGGACTGAAGCAGAAGCCGTGGAGAAAACAGCTTACTGGCTTGCTCTCCCTGACTTGCTCAGTTTGCTTTCTTATACAGCACAGGACTACCAGCTCAGATGAGGCACCACCCACCCTGGGCCAGGCCCTGCCACATCAATCATTACTAAATGAAAAAGCATAAGACTTCCCTGCAGGCCAAGGTTATGGGGACGTTTTCTCAGTTGAAGATCCCTAATTTCCTGAAAACACACACACACAAGCAGAATTTACCTAAACCAAAATTCGATAAATAAGCACATTTTTATGTGCTTATTAAGTTAACTAAATAGGCATTGATAGAAGCAGAGGCACAGAGATCACAGAGACTCCGACATTCATTTTGGACAGGTGCTTTGCTTCAAAACCATGGGTGATAAAGGGGAGGCCATGAAGCCTGACAAGCCGGCAGTTCCAGAAAATGTGGATTTGTGATATTTACATCCAGATCATTTTTCTAGGAAGGCCAATTATCAAAGCTTAAGGCAAGGTTCTAATGCAACTGGCCGTAGGGGACTCTGGAAATACAGAGAAGAGAGATGATTATCTCCCCTTTTGTTTTGCTTATTAAGATGCTGGGCTATCCGAAAAATTGTCCCTGCTGCTCCCTCCAACAGTAGTGAAGGATTCAGCCAGAGCTCATTTCTCCGTGTTGGGTGAGTCAGTCCATCCCTGGAGGACTTGGGACAACAGTCACTACCACTGTCTGGCCCCACCATGATTCCAAATCCAGTTTCTGAACTACTACCCTTGACCTCTACCATGCTTCTTTGGTCTCTATCCGCTCAATATCCACTGCTTTCCCCCAGCACTCCTCACCCTTGAAACTCCTTCACATCATAGAAGCAATTCTATTGAAGGTGTTATTTTGTTCCTGAAGATAATGGCTATTCTGATGTCACTTCTCTCACCTCCAGGTGATATCCTGAGTTCAGCCATTAAAAACACCCAAAATCTTCTCCACATGCCCTATGGCTGTGGGGAGCAGAACATGGTCCTTTTTGCTCCTAACATCTATGTACTGAAATATCTCAATGAAACTCAACAGCTGACTCAGAAGATCAAGTCCAAGGCCATTGACTACCTCAATGCTGGTCAGTAAGGCTAACAAACCCCACTTTTTTCTTGTAAATGTTCTCTCTAGAACTGGCATAGCATTGGAGGGGGAAGCTGAGCAGGGTTCCTGGGAAATCCTTTAAGCCACAGCTATGGGGGTCTCTAGCTTTAGACTTCAATCTTGCTGTTCACTGATACATTTGTTTCTTTAAAACACACCCAAATCCTTCTATTCCAGGTTACCAGAGGGAGCTGAACTACAAACACAAGGATGGCTCCTACAGCGCCTTCGGGGATCGAAATGGCCAGAGTCAAGGAAACACTTGGTAAGAAGAGTTCACTGTGTGCCAGGGCCTTGTTCAACCCTTGGCCCTCATGGCAGCTATACATGCAACTTATTTCATGGAAGCATAACCGATACCTCGGCCTGAGAGGGAAATGTTTGTCATAGCACAAATCATGTATTGCAGAACTGAGACTGTCTCAAGCCTCATCTGCTTTGACTCTGAATCATGTGTTTTACTAAACTCAATCCACTGGTGCTTTCATTTCTCACAAAGATCTTTCATCATTAAATGCCTGGCTACATATTGCTGAGCTTCAAAAGATGCTCATAACTGAGCCTTGAAAAGCTGTCGACATTCTTCATGTGACCTTGCATTACATAGGAATGTATTATTGAGAAGGGACACACAGACAGAAAGCAAACAGGTGACAAAGGGAATAGAGACTGGTGGAAACAGGAAGTAAGCCAAGGATATGGACATCGTTTTTGAGGCAGATAATATGTAGCTGTGGTTGTAGGAGAGGAGAACTTTCTTATCAAGAAAAGAAAATCATTAGCAAGCTGGAAAAAAACACTTAAGATCAGGGTTCAGGCATATTAGGAAAACACCAGAGGGAGCAAGATAGAAGAAATGAGAAAGAAACCAGGAAGCCCCAGGAACCACACTATGCTGTGTTCACATCCAAGGGAACCAGGAATGGAAGACTGCTTTGCAGTAGCTGAGACACTGCCCAGCGGCATGCACTGGAGACCCTTAGACCAATTAGCACATGTGTGGACACCAGCAAACTCACATATGAGGGTACTGCCTCCCAGCAAAAGCTTCATCTCCCCACTCTCCCTCCCCCACCAGGCTCACAGCCTTTGTGCTCAAGTCTTTTACCCAAGCTCGAGCCTTTATCTTCATCGATGAAGCACACATCACCCACGCCTTCAACTGGCTCTCCCAGCAGCAGCAGGACAACGGCTGTTTCAGGAGTTCTGGATCACTGTTCCACAATAACATAAAGGTGATCTATTCTGAACTACTGATGAACATGAGGACCTACTAACACCTGAGAGTCACCTTGTACTAATTATCACAGGAATATGTCTCTAGATTGGGAATGTACTATTTAGTAAGGAGATATGAATGAGAACTTCCTTTGAATACAGTGGACTGGCCATGTGCGGGGGGACATTTGATGGATTGCTGGCTGAATATTTTGCTTTTTTCCCTTCGTTTTGTTTGCAGGGGGGAGTAGAAGATGAAGTGACCCTCGCTGCCTACATAACCATTGCCCTTCTGGAGAGTTCACTCCCAGCTACAGTAGGTGCCAAGCTGCTTCCCCAGCTTCCCAAACTGCTGCAAAACCTGTGGCTTTCTACCCTCTCTGGACCACATGGCAGCTCTCCGTTTTCACAATGCTTTGTATTTGTCAGATTCCATTAGTGAGCATCCTGGTACTCAATGAAACATGGATATGTTCCAAGAAACAACCTGAGAACAGGGCCTTTAATACTGTCCCTAATAGTCTGTGCTTTAAATGGAACACAGTTTATAAAAAGAATCACTTCCAAAGTTAGAGAATGGATAGACAGATTATTAATGACAAGTAAAAGACACAAGGCAAGAAGAGAGGACAGGGAAGGGAAGAGGAAGGATTGATTTGAAAAACACAAATGCCTATAAGCTCTGTGTATGTCCCAGGACCTGCTAGAACCCTTTTCACATAGTTTGGGTTTCATTGTTCTGCCAACAGCATCCTGTTGTCTCCAGAGCCCTGAGCTGCCTAGAGTCATCCTGGAAGACAGTAGAACAAAATGGAAGGAGTAACTCTGTGTACACCAAGGCCCTGCTGGCCTATGCTTTCACTCTGGCAGGGAACCAGCAGAAGAGAAATGAAATCCTGGAATCACTTGATAATGAAGCAATAAAGGAAGGTAAGAATGTGTGTTGTCATGTTTGTCTCCATCCTGTTCTAGGAAGGGAAGTAGGGGAGGATACGGAGTGCGGAAATAGTGTTACAGGTTAGTCCCATCTCTATGGCACACTGACGGTTCTCCTTGGACTGACCCATCAAGAAACCAGCCTTTCTTCTATACAAAAGCCTTCTCTTTAGTGTTTTCTAATAGTGTGACCCAAATCAACAAATGCAGACAGCTGCAGCAAAGGTAAACAGTGGAGGCTTCACTTTTCTCTCTGATGCATATATACCTAATTAGAGGAGCAGCAGCAGAGGGTATGAAGAACACAAAAAGAAAATATGCTTCAGGATTTGCTACTTCATTTGCAACTTTGAAACCAACAGGAAACTTTTCTAAGCCTTTTGGACTGAACACTGAACAAGCTATGTTTTGTTGGGTGTGAAGGAGTTAATGTCTGCCCATGTCTCCTCACCAACTCTGACAGAGCACCATTGAGGATGTAATTTAATTAATATCCTGAAAATTACTGTCCATGGTCTTTCTCAGTCACAACCCATCTGACCAACTGCAGACGTTTACAGAGAATTACTAATTCTGGGGATTCTGTGATGGAAAAATTTAAAACCTACTACAACCTTTTTCATTTCCTTCTTTCTAATGTAGACATAGTCATGTACTGACTACTCATACTTTTAATTATTTCTCTATTTTTACCCCAAGGTAACTCTGTCCATTGGGAAAGACCTGAGAAACCCAGGATAGCAGGGATATCTCTGTACGAACCCCAGGCTCCCTCTGCTGAAGTGGAGATGAACGCCTATGTCCTCCTCGCTGTCCTCTCTGCTCAGCCAGCACCAACCCCTAAGGACCTGGCTTTGGCAGTGAGAATCGTGAAGTGGCTCACAAAGCAGCAGAATTCCTATGGCGGCTTCTCCTCCACTCAGGTCAGTGATTTTCCTTCAGAGTTCCCTTGCAGTTAGAGGATTTGAACAAGAGATGCTGGAACAGTGAAAAAATGAAACAGGAAGAGGAGAGGAAAACAAGGAAGTGTTACTCTTGGGTATGTGGAGTCTGTTGGAAGTGAAGGATCATACATTCTATAATAAATTGTCCTAGTTTTGGTGCCGGCCACAGGGGTTCTCTTCATGCCATAGTGAAACAGGCCTAGGTTCCTCTGAAATTCCAACCCAGACCTAAGACTCAATATAAAGCAACGGCGAAAGTCCTGGAGGTTCCAGAATCCTAAACATAATTCTCTCCCCCTAGAATAGCCTGTGGAGTACCTAGGAGATGTTCTTTGTCCAGATGACATCTTTATTGCCCTGGTGCCCTTACATACAGCTGTTTCCTTTTCCTGGCAGACTCTCCTAATCTTATGTATGGATACATTGCCCTCAGGTTTACTCCAAGCTAGCAGGAGCTCCTGCTCTCCTGTTTACTTCTTGATACTAGAAACAGTCAAGACTGTAAACCATCTGTTTTATCATCTGATCAATATAACTCTCATGAGGTAATATTCCCCCTCTACAAAAAAATATTACCACAATATCAGTAATTAATGCTCTGGAAATTCTAGCATATAATGCAGAACTAATCTCCAGGGAAGTTTAGAGACATGGTAGGTTTCTCTAAAGGAGAAATAAAATGTACAAAAGGAAACCTTCCATGACACTAGGAACCATGCAATTGCAATTCAATTCTTTCAGTCTTTACCTTCCTTTAGTGTCTGCATTATGATACTAAAACCCTCGCTGTGAGTTTCTGCTCCCTTGTTGGGCTCTGTAGTCAGGCAGCATCTGGAGCTGTCTTGGATAAGGAAGGATCCTGTGGGAGAGACCCTCTCTGGAGTATGCCACCAAGGAGCAAGGCAGCGAAGGACAACACTAGCTCACAGCATTTTCTATTTGATAAGAGAGTCATGACCAGCACTCAGCCATGGTGTTTGTGTCTCTTGATTCCTCCCCAAGTACAGAGGAAAGTTTGGGGATGAGAGCAGGAATGTGATTTTTGTGAGAAGATGTGGCATCACCATGGGAATCAGGGACAAAGGGAGAGAAACAGTAAATGCTGAGAGGAAAATCTAATTTGTGTTTCTATTTTCCACTGGCTGGGGGGAGTTTGCATAAGCCAGGGCACTCTCTGTAGGAGAAATTTTATGGAATGTTATTTGCTTCTCAAATGTATCCTGGATTAAAGCCTGAAATAAAGACTAGAGATCAAATAATTAGAGTCAAAACCTCATGACACTTTTTCACAGCTGAAATGAACGTTGGGAAGAGCTCAAGCCCTTCCCAACTGATGCTAAACTGAATGATGTCTTCATCCCTCTCAGGACACTGTGGTGGCCCTCCATGCTTTGTCCAAGTATGGAGCAGTTACTTTCTCCAGAAGTCAGAAAACTCCTTTGGTGACCATCCAATCTTCAGGGACGTTTTCCCAAAAGTTCCAAGTAGAGGACAGTAACCGCCTGTTACTGCAGCAGGTCCCTTTACCTGACATTCCTGGGGACTATGAAATCAGTGTGACAGGAGAAGGATGCGTGTATGCTCAGGTAAGATTCTGGGCAAGTTGTGGGTGTGAGGTGTGAGCCTCCTCCCCAGAATGGGAAGTCTCGCTGAGCCTACCTGCACACTTGAGGCTCAAATTGGGAGAAATGGATCCAAGGGCCCAGTGGCATGCAGGTAAAGGATTTCTGCTCACTACCTACCAGACGACGCTGAAATACAACGTGCACTTGGAGAAGCAGCAGTCTGCATTTGCTCTCCGGGTGCAGACATTACCTCTAACTTGTGATAACCCCGAAGGCCACAACAGCTTCCAGATCTCACTGGAAATCAGGTATGAGCGTCTGTCTCTGGCTCTGGCTCTGTTTATGTCTCCTTCAGCACTGTCTTCCTAGAACACTTCACAGAGTGGGTTCAGCGGTATCTGAAGTGAGTCTCTTCAGTAAGAGTTTGCTTTGTCTGTAAAACAAACAAACAAGAATACTTCAGCAAAGTGATCAATGAAGAATTGTAGAATTATAATTTCTAGTTAGCCTGCTTTAGGATACCTTTCTTGCCCACTCTCATAATAAAATAATATGTTCTTCTTTTCCAAGAGACCTTCACATAGGTTATTCTTCTTCACCAACAAAGAAAAGCCATTCTGATCTTCTAAAATTTTATTTTTCTAGAAGAATAATTTTTTAAAAAAGATATTCAGTTCTTCTGACACTCATCACAATCTTTGTATAAAATATAACCAGCAAAAACCAAAGGGATCTTGGATGCAGAGAAGTTATTCTGAGTGTAACCTATCACCTCGTTTCACCTCAGTGTGTGCGTGTGTCCCTGTGCATGTGGTCTGTGCGTGTGCACACACATGTGTATATGACACAGGAGAGTCCTCAGGTTCCATAACTACTTGTTTTGAGATTAGCTCTCTTAATGGCCTGGGGCCTGCTACCCAGACTCTGCTGGCTGGCCAGCAAGCCTTAGGTTCCACTTCTTTTTAATGCACTCTCCAGATGATACTGTCATGCAGTCTATTTTCACAACTATTTATATGACAGTAAAGGCCACCTGTTTTAAGGTACGGAAAAGCCATGCAGGCTGTATCAGGATTACTGCTAGACCTCAAAAAAGGGCAAGATTCAACCTATGAAAATTGCTCCCCTGTAACTCTTTGGTCTGCAGTTACACAGGGAGCCGTCCAGCATCCAACATGGTGATTGCTGATGTGAAGATGATATCTGGTTTCATTCCATTGAAGCCCACAGTGAAGAAGGTAAGCAGACACCACATGTTTGGATGCTCTGTGTCCTCAGACTAGGAGCTTACCACTTCATCACAATAACGTCAACCCATGTCACAGCACTGTTAGTACTAACACAGGATTGGGTGTGAGAGCGGCCAGCAGAAGAAACAAAAGGTGCTGAGTTCACTGAGGCCACAATCTGGCTAACAACAACCTTTAAAGTGTAATAATGGACCTGGTCAATAATTATTCAGGGGAAACATTAGTACATGCCAAAATTGTAGATGTAGTTCAGAGGTTCTAAGAAGTATGAAAATTAACAACAACCGAAGATCAATATCAGAGTACAGAGAAAGATGTTTGCAAGGAGCCGGGCATGGAGGCGCACGCCTTTAATCCTAGCACTCAGGGAGGCAGAGGCAGGAGGATCACAGTGAGTTTTAGGCCATCCTGGTCTACAAAGTGAGTCCAGGACAGCCAAGCCAAGGTTGGTTTGACAAACCCTGTCTCAAATCAACAAACAAACAGGCAGAAAAAAAAAATGCTTGCACAGATGTAGGAGTATTTTTACCTACTATTAAGTGAGACAATATTGAGTCAGGCCTTTAGGAGCCGACACAATTTTTCTAAGTATATTTTCATTCTTACTGGAAAAGTTTTTTATCAGTTCATTTAAATGAATTTGTGACATCTCCTTTTTATCACCTTCAATCCCACCATTCATGCACCTCTTTCACCCCTGAGTGAAAGAGCCTTTGATAACACTCATGTTTTCTCTCATTTTCAGCTTGAAAGGTCCGAGCACGTGAGCAGAACAGAAGTGAGCAACACCAATGTCCTGTTATATCTGGATCAGGTGAGGGTCCTTCCTGCCTTCCTAGACACATCTGGGTTTACGTCCTTGGTTTGTGTAGGTCAGGGGAGGGTCCTTCCTGCCTCGCTAGACATGCCTGGGTGGACAGTCTTTCTTGGTAAGTCTATGAGGGAAGCACATAGCAGAAGCAAAGCAATTCTAAAGGAAGTCTTTTGGAAAGGCAACCTCCCTCTGTTCATACTGGATGATGTTTGGAATTCTTTTTCTTTGGCTTGGAGCCATGACTCAGCAGTTAGGAGCACTGACTGCTCTTGCAGAAGGCCAGAGTTTAGTTCCCAGGACCTAGTCAACTCACAACTCCCTGGTACTCTAGATCCAGGGGATCTGATGCCTTCTTCTGGCCTCCACCGTATGGACACCACACAAACACCCTCACATCATCATCGTCATCATAATTAATACTAATAATACAAACTTTTAAATTCTCATTCCTCATTGCTGGCTTTCCTGGGACTTGCTATAATGTGCCAAGTCATCAAGTCAAAGTGTTTAACTCACAATGGAAAAAGTGAACTATTGCATATTAAGGAAGAATATGGATTTTTAGAAAGGTTTAGTAGACTAGGAAAGTTTCATATTCTCCCCGGAGCCTTGCACTTCAGTTCCTCGGGTCCCTGCTCTAAAATCATTATCACCATCCACATATGTGGCATCAGGGAACACGGTGACTGTGAGGTTAAATGGATCCAACCCATAACCGTGTTTCAAACACCAAGGACTGAGTCCTGCTGAGCAAAAACAGCGTCCACCTCCGTGAGTCTGGATCATTAGTCTCTCTTTCCCAGGTGACCAATCAGACCCTGGCCTTCTCCTTCATCATTCAACAAGACATCCCAGTGAAAAACCTGCAGCCTGCCATTGTGAAAGTCTATGACTACTACGAGACAGGTGAGCAAGAGATTACAAAGCACCCTAAAGCAACGTGATTGGTTTTTCTTTTCCATTCTTTTGCTTTTTTGTTTTTAGTTGGTTGGTTTTTGGTTGGGGTAGGGGTGTTTGCTTGTTTATTTTTTTTCACAGATTCTCACTATGTCGTTCAGTGTGGCCCCAAACCCTTAATTTTCCTGACTCAGCCCCTTCAAATGCTGATATTAGGGGCACATACCATCACACCCATTATTAAAAATAATTGCTTTTCAGCCAATGACATATATGTAGGCCAGACTAGCTAAGTCAGTCTTTAATAAAAGAATATGAGTATAACTAATATTTATAAAATTTCAATTTATTCATTCACTAATTCCTACCTGTTTATGCAAACAGTCATGTGGAACCAAACATGTCCAAATAAACCAAGGGACCAAACATTTTACAAAGAAGGTCTGTGGGCTGAAAGACACACAAATATTCTTATGAATATAACAATGCAATGATGAAGAATTATACAAATAAGTATAGTAGGAATAAAAAGATGAGAGAAAATTGTAGTCTCAGTGGTCAGTGATGATCAAAGAAAGAGAGCAAAGCCAGAGCTAGAAAATTAAATGGGTTCTTTTTTTCTGGTGAGTAAAGAGATATATGCCAAATGATTCAGACTAGTAGAATTCAAGAAATATTGAAGGGCTGGGTGGTGGTAGGACATACCTTCAATCCCAGCAGTTGGGGGCAGAGGCAGATGAATCTCTGTGAGTTCAAGACCAGCCTAGTATACAGAGCCAATTCCAGGTAGCTCAGTTAGGGTTGCACAAGGAACAGTACAGCTCTAAAAGGATCGCTGCTAGTCCTATGCTCAAAGATAAGCACACTTTGATTTTCTCCACAGGGTAAATGATTCTGGTGTTACACAATTGTTCACTTATTTCACTTATTTCAAGGGAGGCAGGCACAGCGCCTGTGGAGGTCAGACGGCAATTTGGGGAAAGGGTTCTCTCCTTCTGCAAAGTTAATCCTGAAGAGTGAACTCACTATAGTCATCAGATATGGCTCAAGCACCTTTCCACACTGAGCCATGTTGGTGTCCCAGGATAAAATGGTCATTTTTGAGGGGAAAAACTCCTTTCCTTGGTTTGTCTGATGTCCACAGAGAGACTGCTTTTCAGCCATCATCTATGTCCTGAATGAGAAAAGTCCTCAGTCCTAACTCATCAGCTGCCCTCCCACAGAATCCTCTCTTCAAACTCCCAATCTCACGTTTTTCTCCCCTGTCTTCCAGATGAAGCAGCTTTCGCTGGATACAGCGTGCCCTGCGGCACAGGTGAGCACCTGGCGCTCCTTGCCATGGCCCACCTCTGACCTCCTTCCCTTCACAACTACCCAGAACTTTGGTTAGATATGCTCAGACCCTTCCCACTGTGTGAAAACGCAGAGATTTACACCTTTGAATCAGCGAGCTGACCCTGGAAGACCCCTGAACTCCCTTACCAAGTATATTGCAGCTTATGGGAGAAAATTTGATGGATCCCATGTCCCTCATGGACAGTTTGCTTTCCTGATGAAAACGCTGCTGTCTGCACCCACTTGCAGTATATTCATCCTTTATGTTGCTTTCTTCTCTCCACATACACAGAGAAACCAAATTTTTGAAACTTGTATCTGTGGACAAGGCATTGCTGGAATCCCCGAATCCAGGAATCTTCAAGATGGTGATTTTTCTTTGTCTCTGCAATATAAATACTGAACAAGCTTGGTAAATAAACACATAGTTCAAAGTGTCTCTATCTATGATTCTTTCTTCACTTGATACAAATTTCCTCCATGCTCCTCTAGGGCCTTGCACTATTCCCCACATTTGCAATGAACAGAAATGACCTTTCCACAGAAGAACACGTACTATAAAAATGTGAGCACTTTCCAGCTGCTTTAATAATACACACCTCAGAACATGAAGGTGACACAAGAGCAACCTTACCTCCATAAGAAAAACACAATGGGTGCATCAGTGAAAGGAGACCATAGTGCAAGCAAGACATGGTGATTCAGGCCTGCAGTCAGAGCATTTCTGGAGGATGAGGCAGGAGAGATACAAAGTCAAGAGCAACCTAGGCTACTCTGCAAGTTCCAGGTGAACCTGGGCTTCACAGCAAAAGCCTGTCAAAAAAAAAAAAAAATAACAAGAGGCAGGGATCGCAGCTTGATGGTAAAATACTTGACCATTTTCAGGTCTGTGGTTTCAGTTTCTAACACAGTGGAAAAGGGGGGATATAAAGCATCCAGGCAGAAACAGTTTTTTTCAAAAGAAAAGAGAGGCCCTTAGTGCCAGGAAAATGGCTATCTGACTTACCGGCATTCCACTGTGGTCTGAATGCAAAATGTCCCAACAGGATCTGCTGTTTGAGCAATTGGGTGGTCCTAGAGCTGGTGCTGTTCTGTGACGTTGTGAAATATGTGGAATATGGGTCCTAGCTGGCAGTAGGGGTGAAGTTTGAGAATTCTAGCCCAGACAAGTTCTGTCTGCCTCTTGAGCCATGGAGGATGAGGAATCCCTTTCACAAGATTTTGCATCCTTGGATGTAAACATCGCTAGCCACTATGCTCTCTTCACCAGGATGGGCTGAATCCCCCTTACCTGGGAAAGACCAGCTGATGACCAGGTGTCTGCACACATGAGCCTGGGGAACATTTGAGATTCACACCCCAACAGTTATTTAGCCTTCTATTCTGGAGCCTGTGGCAAGGCAGGACATCACAGGGGAAGCCACTCCATTCAGGACCAGCATTCAAAGAGGGGGGGGGACCCCATAATCCCCTCAGTGACCTAGCTTTCTCCCATTGGTCAGCCCTGTTTAAAAGTTCCACCATCTCCCAGTAGCAGCACAGGCTGAGTGCCAAGCCTTTAGCACAAAGGCCGAGGTGTAAAGGCCTTCATTCCTAATGCGGCCTTTTTTTTAAATGATGGAAACTATAAGAGCTGGATGGTGTCTTCATAGAGCATGGGGGACCTGGCTCTCCCTCACTGGCTTACTGTTTTGTTTTCTTTTCTTTCATGGCTGTAAGGCAAGAACTTCACTTTGCTTTGCTCTGCACCTCTATGGTCCCTCATCCCAGAGCCTAAGGCAGCAGGAACAGCCAATGAATCAAAATGAAGCTTTCCCTTTCTTAGCTTGCAGTGGCAGGTATGTGGTCCCAGCAGAAGCATGATGGCAGTGTTTATCCACTAGGAGACTGGAGTTGAGTTGGGACTCTTTTATCACAGTTGTTGTGTGATCAGATGTGGCTCAGGAGGGCAACACACAGGACAGAGTTATGGTGGGAAAATGATGACAGATCTGTCTCATCTAGACTTTGGAAGACATGAGGGTTTCTCTGGGTAGCCTTGGCTGTCCTGGACTCACTTTGTAGAACAGGCTGGCCTCAAACTCATATCCATCAGTCTGCCTTTTGTTGATACCTCCCTGAGTGCTGGGATTAGAGGCGTGCGCCACTGTGCCTGGCTACTATATTACACTTCTTAAAAACATTTTTATATAATTTTTATGGAAAGCCAAAGTTGCTCAGGCAAATACAGTAAGTTCTAGGACAAAATGAAAGTCTCCTTAGAGATTTTAACAGTGGAAGTTATGCGTCTTCTTCTTAAGTAGAATTAGGAATGGGAAACTATTCAAATTAGGTTAGGTGCAGATTAATTGGATTTTAAATAATAAATAGCATTATGACAGACATAGGAACTATGCTGGGTGTGTGTCTCGTCTCCTTCCCTGTGTTGTTATTTATCGTGTGTTCCGTTTGCCCACTTTCTGCTCAAAAGCAGGGGGAGCCTTTAGATTCCCCAAGTGCAGTAATACAAGATTACCACATGGAGGCAGCAAATGTTAAAAAAATATAAGTATGGCGATTTTTATTAAAACCATGCAAAAAATAAGAAACTGGGCAACACGTTCCAGCGGGTAGCCCTAGACCCACAGGCAGGCAGACAGCTCTAACTGGGCTCAGTGCATTACAAAAGAGGAAAAGGGAGAAAGAAAAGAAAAACGAGGAAGAAGGAAAGGAGAAGATGAAGTTGGGAAAGGAACATTAAGTGGGTAATATGATCAAAATATATTGTATAAATATATGGAATTCTCAAAGAACAAAAATAAATAAAAAGGGCACAAGAGAGAGAGAGAAAGATGAGAAAAAGAAAATTACTCTGGAAAACTAAATTGTAAAATACAAAAATAAAGTATCTACCATAATATTCAGTTCTCTTTAACCCATAGTTTCACCTTCCAAGGCAAATCCATGTGGACAGAAGGACTAAATTCCATACTGGAACAGGAGCCGGGAGTCAGGCCCAGGGCTTCAGGAAACGCTCCGCCAGCCCTCCCATCCATGACCTTTGGTAACTGGCTGATCTGCTGAAATGTAGAAATGGTCTTCTTCAAAATAGGTCTCTGGGCTTTTCCTAAGTGGACACCAATTATGTGGGTGAAAGGTCTACCCCCACTATCTAATATTTTCCCAAAAGTCCCATCTCTGAATAGCACCATATTCAGAATCAGGGTTTCCAATTTTGAAGGCTCAGAACCACTGACTCCATGGCAAACTGGTTATCATAATCAAAAGCAAAGTCAAAGTGACAGAATGAACAGTGTGACTCCCACAGACCTGCTGGATTGGCTAACTATTGACCATGTCCACAAATAAAATAAATAAACCTGTTGAGTCTGCACTTGATCTTTATAACCAGAAAACTTTCAGATCAAATATATAAAACTCTGGAGTGAATTATAAAACTGTCATCCCACACATGAGCTAGTTTACAGAGAAGGGGAGAGGGTCTTCCGTGAAGAAACACCCTGATGATGAACCAAACATGTACATATTCAATGATTCCTTCCCTAAAAGGGCCTCCGGGAGTTTATCAGTGTAGGGCAGTAATTTCGTCATTAGAGAACAACGGACACAGACTTTAACATGACATTAATTCCCGTAAACGTAAAATATCAGTATAGTCCTCCAGTCAAAGGAAGGGTTAATGGGGTTGGGGGATGGCAGGAAATATTCTAAAAAAATTAAGCTCCAGTAAGCCAGAAAGTCTAAAGGAAATAAATTTCTAATTATGTAACATGACTGAGAAAGCATATACATTTCTAGACATATATATGGTTTACCAAGACAACATCAACCGTGAAAACAACCTAGTGAAATGATCCACAGGAGATAGTTATTGGCAACCATGCTAATTAAGCCAATTAAAAATATATGAATCCTTTTATTAGCAGGTGACCAAGGGCAGATTCGTGCCTCAAGGTGTCTTGGTGCCAAAGCTGGGGGGTGGGGGGTGGGGGTGAGGAATGACAATCGCGTCAGCGTTTGAAGGGGCTAGAGCAATATCTGTCTTTTTGCAGAGCTTAGTGGTATTTCCCAGACACCACATGACAATTATTTTTTACTTACGCTTCCTCTTAGTTATTTCAGTTTTATGTTTTAGCCTGCACAAATATTCATCGTCCTGGTTAACAGGTAGAAGGGGTCACATTGTCAAGGAGGATGTGTCAACTGGGGTTGTCAGGAGTGGAAGGCTGAGAAGTGTCCACACAGAAATGAAATGGAGTCAGGACAAGATGGTGTCACCTTAACCTCTTCGCTACAGTGAGCAATGAAATTGAAGCAGCAGTAATCTAAGAAGAGCTGAAAACCAAACGGATCCACTTCTGAATTCTATAAAACCTCAAGGAAGGGACTAACGTAAATATCCCTCAGACCATTCCATAAGCTAGAGAGGGAAGGAACGCTTCCTAACTCACGTGAATGAAAAGAAAATGCTCAAATACAACACTTCTACAATCGGTATTACCCTGACACCAAAACCAGAAAAGGATAAACATAAAAGGTAACAAAAGTTCACAAATTTAATTTCACTTTTTGGACATCATGCACTAAGATCAAGTTGTCTCTTGCTCTTGAACAAGGCTGACTTGACAAATAAGTTACTGAAACGCAGGATTGTTGGGGTACGTTGTGTGAAGGTGTGTCTCTATATAGTCAGTTGTTGACTGCTAAACTGGAAGGGAGCCAAGTACTAGCCAGATGTTGGTCTAGTTATTTCTATGACACATCACTGGTCTTATATCTTGTAAATATTCGTCCTTCCTCCCTTGTTTACTGGTTGCAATAATGGACAATATCTGGGCAGGAAGTGGAGGAACTTCTGAGGTGGGGAGGAGGGAAGACGGGAAGGAAGAAGATGCTGGGAAAAGAAAAGATTCCCTAGTGGATGTGTAGGTGAACAGACATAACAGAGTGGAGCAGAGAGGTAGAGCTAGCCACGTGGTGAGAGGTAAAACCAGAATTAACCGGGCTATATTAGATAGCTGGCTGGAGACTAGCTAAAAAGGCCCTGTGTCATTATTTATAGCTCTGGCCGGTCCGAAAGTCTGGCCATACATGTTCATTTCAATTCATGTAAAAACCCTTTGACAAAATTAGGTGTTCCTCCATTGTAAAAAGACCTGAAGAAACTAAAAACAGAAAGAACAGCTCCGTGTAATAAAGACTATATACAACAAACTAAAAGACAAATTTCTGCTTAATAGAGAAAAAAAAGAAAAGAAAAATTTTCCCTAACATCAAGAATGAGACAAACCACACAGACAAGCCCTGTCTCGAAAAACAAAAACAAAAACAAAAATCCCAAAACAAAAACAAACAAACAAACAAAAGAATGAGGCAAAGATGCCCATTCTGACCACTGTTATTTGAATATAATACTTGAACTCCATTGGGTGTGGTGGTGCATGTCTTTAATCCCAGCACTTGGGCGGTAGTTGCAGGTGGATCTCTGTACTTTTGAAGCCACATCATGAGACGCCATGTTAAAAGAAAAAGAAAAGGTATTTAAAATTCTAGCATGAGCAAATTAGAGGAATACACACAGGAAACAAAGGGGTCAAATTACCCTTTTTGCAGATGATAATGGTCTTAAAAGACCCTAAAGACTACCTCAGAAGACCCTCGTATCTGATACTGTCAGAAAAGTAGCAAGATTTTAAAAAATTTAAAAAAAAAATCAGTATTCAAATATTACATTCGCGACAGCCTCGAGGACTGAAAAAAAAAAAAAAAAAAAACCTACGTAGAAACATAATCAAAGGACCCCCGTGAAGAAAGTCATCAGTCCCTAAAGGAAGAAGCTCAAGAAGACGCTGAAAGACAGAACGACCACCCAACATCCAAAAAAAAAAAAGGGGCCAAACGGTGGCGGAACCCACCTCGCTCCCGACGGCGCTCGCCGGCCGCTCCCCGCGCCGCCTCCCCGCGGCCTGCTCCGCCCTACATGGGGGCGGTCCTCGGCAGCTCGGGCGCGGCTTCCTCTTCAGAGGCGGCCTGGCGCCGCGGCCGCTCTCCCCGCGCCCGCCTCGGGCCGCTGGCCCAGCCCGGGCAGAGGCTGCAGGGCCGCGTCGCGGGCGGTCGCGCCAGGCCAGGCCGCCATGGCCCCAGTGCAGCTGGAGAACCACCCGCAGGTCCCTCCTGGCGGCGGCGGCGGCGGCGGCGGCTCCTCGGCGCCTGCCCCTGCTCCCCCGCCACCGGGAGCCCCCGTAGCGGCGGCAGCTGCGGCCAGCCCCGGTTACCGGCTTAGCGCGCTCGTCGAATTCCTGCTGCACCGGGCCTACTCGGAGCTGATGGTGTTGACGGACCTACTGCCCAGGAAATCTGATGTGGAGAGGAAGATAGAACTTGTACAGTTTGCCAGCCGGACGCGCCAACTCTTCGTTCGATTATTGGCCTTAGTGAAATGGGCCAACGATGCTGCTGGCAAAGTTGAGAAGTGTGCGATGATCTCAGGCTTTTTGGATCAGCAAGCCATCTTGTTTGTGGACACCGCTGACCGCCTGGCCTTCCTAGCCAGAGACGCCCTGGTCCATGCACGCCTGCCTACCTTTGCTATCCCGTATGCCATTGATGTACTGACTACTGCCTCTTATCCACGTCTCCCAACCTGCATCAGGGATAAAATTATTCCTCCAGACCCAATTACCAAAACTGAGAAACAAGACACGCTTCATCAGCTTAATCTGATTCTCAGACACAGGCTTGTGACGACAGATCTTCCTCCACAGCTAGCAAATCTTACTGTGGCAAATGGCCGTGTGAAGTTTCTTGTTGAAGGAGAATTTGAAGCAACCTTGACGGTGATGGGTGATGACCCAGAAGTTCCATGGCGCCTTCTCAAGCTAAAAATTCTGGTTGAGGATAAGGAAACAGGAGATGGGCGAGCTTTGGTTCATAGTATGCAAGTTGACTTTATCCATCAACTGGTGCAGTCTCGGCTCTTCGCTGATGAGAAACCTCTTCAGGACATGTACAACTGCCTACATTATTTCTGCTTGTCACTTCAATTAGAAGTGTTGCATTCCCAGACTCTAATGTTAATCCGAGAGAGGTGGGGAGACCTTGTACAGGTGGAAAGATACCATGCTGGAAAGTGCCTCGCTCTCTCAGTTTGTAATCAACAGGTTCTAGGGAGAAAAACAGGCACAGCATCTATTCACAAAGTTACAATTAAAATCGATGAGAATGATGTCCCCAAGCCTTTGCAGATTTTACATGATCCTCCTTTGCAAGCTTCTGATTCTAAATTAGTAGAAAGAGCCATGAAGATTGACCACTTATCAGTAGAAAAGCTCCTGATTGACAGTGTGCATGCAGGAGCCCACCAGAAGCTGCAGGAACTGAAGGCCATTCTTATAAACTTCAATGCAAATGAAAACTGTAGGTGTTTTTAATTGATACTCATCTTATTCTTTTATTTAAGGGTTTTTCTCATATAACTTTCCCTTGATGTTTTTTGTTGAGGATGGTGGGCATTTGTTGCATTTAGCCTGAAACCTACCAAACCTGTCCCAGTTTTCACTTTTCTCTCTCTCCATCCACCGACCCACCCACCTACCTACCTTAGGTTGTCTTTATTTTTGGAATGTTTGCACATTGTCTCTCCTTTAAAAAGTGTACTTATTGAAATAGAAATATTGTAACATGACTCATAATTTAGTGTTTCTTTTCCTGACAAAGCAGCACTGCAGGTGCTTTTTATAGTGTATTTATAAAATATGGTTGAGTAAAGCAGAATTCATTCCGTGTCTTCAGTTTTATAAAATAATAATAATAATCTACAGAACTAATACATCCTTCCACTTGCCCTCTTCATAGAAATAGAAAAAAAGTTAAACATTATAAAGAAACATGTATGCACAGGCAAGGGCAGAGGGGGATGAAGGGAGAGAGAGAACACTTTAGAGCAAGAGAAATAGCCATAGAGATAAAAGAAATCCTGAGGGAAAAGAACCATGCTGGAGGTGTCACAATAGCTGACTTCAAAATGCACTACTGAGCCACAGAAATAAAGCGACGCAGCTTACAGTCATCAGGTTATCCCTAAAGGTACCAAAAGCACACACTGAGGAAGCCGTATTAACAAGTGGTGCTGGGAAAACTGGATGTCCACATCTTGAAGACCAAAAATAGTACCCTATCGCTCACCTGGAGAAAAAAAAAAAAAAAAAAAAAAGCTCATAACAGTCAAAGTCTTTAATGTAAGACTTTTTAACTTTTAAATGTCTAGAAGAAAACATGGGAAAATACTTAAAGGTCTTAATAGGATTCCAATATCTCGGGAAGTAATATTAGAAATTGACAAACGGGATTCTATGAAGTGGAAAAAAGTGGCAGAAAGGCCACCACAGGTTGGAGGCCAGCCTGTGTACATAATGAAATCCAATGCACCTTGATCATGTCAATTTTTTAAAAACAGGTCTCACTGTGTCCCGGAGTGGCCTTTGGTGCAGGGACTCAAGGAACCCTTAAGCCTCCACTGGGAGAAGAGGCTTATACTGCCTTGACTGGTTAAACCCATTAGGGAAAGCATCATTCACCAGTGTTTTGTTGCTGTTGTTTTGTTTTGTTTTTAAGACAAAGGCTCTGTTAACTATTCGCAGAAAAAGAAATACAGATAGCTCTTTAGTATGTAAAATGATGCTGTCATTCTTAACAGGAGAGAAACCTCTTTTACTTCATTAGCAAAGATTGAAAATTTGATTAAAAACTCTGCTGTCTTGGTCTGCAAGACCAGGTTATCAATTATCAGTCAAGGAAGGGAAGAGAACATGGGAACCTACTCCTCAGCACTGAGCTACAGCCTATTGATAGATTCCAGGAATAAGGGGTATCAATGTCTATTTATGTACTAAAAATAAACAAATAAATAAATAAACAAAAAATAAATAAATAAACTGCTGGGCCCACCAGGCTCCAATAGATGGTTCCAAACACGCAGTCATGGGGATGGTTCTGGTTATGCTCTGTGGGTCACAAAGCAAAGCTAACAAAATGAATAGGAGATCAAGTTGGGGTCAGAGGAAGAAGCAAGGTGAGAATGGTCAGTAAGCACTGTGAACATGTATGGATTTGCCTACAAAGAAAGTTAATTATTAATAAAAATCTTCTAACACAATAAAACTGCTGGAGGGCTGGAGAAACGACTCAACCATTAAGAGCTGGGACATAAGTTTGGTTCCAAGCACCCACGTCAGGCAGCTTACAACTGCCTGTAACTCCAGCTCAGGGGATCTGATGTCCTCTTCTTCCTTCTGCGGGCACTGCACTCCCACTGTACAGAACTCTCCTCCCTGCCACATAATCACTACCTTCAGTAGTGAAGCTGTGTCTGCCTGCAAAAGATCCCAGCAGGCTGGCTGGCTTGCTTTTCTTTTCTCTTTCCTTTCTTTCTGGTTTTTCAAGGCAAGGTCTACCCTCTGTGTAGTCCTGGCTGTCCTGGAACTCACTCTGTAGATCAGAGCCCTGGCTGGCCTCAAACTCACAGAGATTCAACCGCTTCTGCCTGCCAAGTGCTGGGATTAAAGACATGGGCCACCAGCACCCGGCTTCAGCGAGTCTTCTTGACCATTAAATTTCCCTCATAGAAAGAGAGGACAAGGATGGGCATGGGGGCCTCATCTGAATACCCAGTCATTCCAGTACCGGTGGCCAGGGAGAGCTAGAGCATTTAATCTGGTAAGCACTAGGGAAAGGGACTCATCAGCACAGCCATGTGGAAGCCATCATCCATGCTGGGCACACGCCTTCCTGTGCCGCTGCATTAGGCTCACCCACCTTCTAAGTAAACCCACACTCTGGCTCACTAGTTCCCAGGGGAAACTTGGCAGAATGGAACTTTGATTTGTCATTGACACCTTAGGAGAGGGAAACAGATGTTGCTTAGTCCCTCCCAAGGGGTAATTTTTTTTTTTTGCAATGTATACGTGTGTGTGTGTGTGTGTGTTTATATTTCTTAACTGTGTGTAAAAAGGTGGACAGAAGATGAATTCTCATTCATTGATGCTGTGAGCTTGATTTTCAGAGAGAACAGTTTAGCAACTTTTACAAGCACTAGAAATATACAAAACTACATCTTGGAAAACTGAGTCATAGCAAGTCCCTTTGTAAAGGCCAAAGAGGAAAAGGTCTAAGACAGATTGATACATACATAAAATACACTTTAATCCAGCCACATAAATGAACTAGAGGAGCAGACAGGCACAGCGACACCAAATTACAATCCCACTTACATGGGGGGCTGAGGTAGAATATCTTGAGTCCAGCCTGGGGAACGTTGAAAATGTTGAAGATGCCATTGAAAAGTGACAAAACAAGATGAAATGAGGCCATTTTGATAATTATAAACAAAGAAAAATACTCCATTGAACTTTCAGAGAACTAGGTAATGCTCCACACGGTTTTACACGCGTTAACCATTTTGCTTAGCAACTAGCAACAGGTTTTTGTTTGTTTAAAGGTTGTGGTTTTGTCTCTTGGTTTGAGGCTTTTTGTTTTGTTTTGCAGTGTGAGTATTGAGCCTGTGACTTCACAGACTCTCACTGAACTCTACTACCACACCCTCCCCCAAAGACTCCCTGCTTGAACCCAGCATGGTTCTGACCACACTCTATCCAAGCTGCTTTCAAAGAAGGGACAAGGCATTTTCTAAAGAAAATTCAAGAAGTAAAGAATTCCACATATAAATAACAAAAACTAAATAGTCAGTGTTACCATTGGCTGGCTTGGATTTCATCCTTGTACAAACATTACAGGGTATGCTTATGCAAATGTCCATGCTTTAGGTCAACCACGATGGCCTCTCTAATTGTAGCTGTTAACATATTTCGGGCTCTTCAACTCCCTCTTCCACGTTCAGCCCATCATGGACTTTCTTTATCTTCCACATCTGAGAAGAAACACATCACACTTGTGTTTCTGTACCTGGCTTATTGTACTTTCCATCCTGTCCTTCAGTTTTCCTCATTTTCCTGAAAGTCACATGATTTCATTCCTCTTCGTGGCAGAACAGCACTCGGTGTGTGTGTGTGTGTGTGTGTGTGTGTGTGTGTGTGTGTGTGCACATGTGTGTCCCAAGGAGTTTCATTAGGCCTGTTTAGCAGAGCACAAGTGAAATGTTCCTTCAGCCTTGATGATGGGGTATGGGTAGTTTATATAGGCCCATTCAAGGCTGAGCACATAACAATCTCTTATTCTCAGGACTTTGACTACTTATGGGTCTGCACTAACCACTGCCCACTGCAGAAAACCGTCTAAGTTTGAGAGCAGCACAGGTATAAACAAGTATTTAGAGAGCAATTTGTAACCGTGACCATTTAACAAAACAACATTAGGTTCCTCCTTGTAACTATGATTTCCCTAGATACAAGTTATTAAACAAGTTTACAATGCCAGGCATCATTTCCTGGGACGCAGGCCTAATACCTAATCAGAAAGTGGTGGGTTGGTAGAATTCACCAGCATAAACATCTGGGCTTGGGTTTGTTTTAATTGAGAAATTTAAAATTATCACTTTGGGCTGGAGAGACTGAGGTTAAGAGCACTATCTGCTCTTCCAGAGGTCCTGAGTTCAATTCCCAGCAACCACATGGTGACTCACAACCATCTAGAATGAGATCTGGTGCCCTCTTCTGGCGTGTAGCTGTACTTTCAGGCAGGACACTGTATACATAAAAAAATAAATAAATCTTTAAAAAAATTATCACTTCAATCTCACTCTTTGTCATAAATAGGTTTAGCTCATTTTGGTCCCTTCTTTTAGATACTACAATTTAGGAAACAGGAATTTTAAAGCTCTCGCCTAATGTTTTTCTGAATTTCGCTGATACCTGCGGTTGCTCTTTTCCCATCTTTCCTTTGTAACTTGGGCCCTCTTTCCTTCTCTTTCTCTCGGTTATCATGGCTAAGGGTTGGTCTGTCTCCCTTGTCTTTTCAAAGAGCCACCTCTTCGTTTAATTGATTCTTCGTATTGATTTTTATTGTTTTGTTTCCACTTCTCCAGTTTCTGCTCTGATCTGAATTTCTTTCCATCTACTGAACTGCGGTTTGGTGTGTTCTTCTCTGTAAAGAACTCTAAGTTTTATCATTATTTATATTATTGATTTGACGTTTTTATGATTTATTAGTGGGGGGGGGTACCTGGATATTTAGACCTTTCTCTTAGGACTGCTTTCATTGTAACCCATAGGTTTTAGAATGTTCCCTTTTCATTTGCATTTGGTTATAAAAATGTTTTAGTCCTTGTTTGATTTCTTATAGCGTGGTGTTTAATCTCCACATAGCCTAGGGTTTCTTTTGCTGTTAATTTGTAGACTTTCTGTATTGCAACCAGATAGAACTGAAGACTTATTTCAAGTTTCCTGTATTTGTTGGGATTTATGTCCAAATATATGTTAGATTTTAGAGACAGTTACAGTTCTGTAGATGTCTGCTGAGTTCATTTGCTCTATGATATCATTTAATTTTTACATTTCTCTGTTTATTAAGTTTATTTTTACCTATTAATTGTGTGTGTGTGTGTGTGTGTGTGTGTGTGTGTGTGTGTGTGTGTGTAGATACAGAATATGTGTTAATGTGCATGCCACAACATGAGTGAAGGCTAAAGGACAATTTTGTGGAGTCGCTTCTCTCCTTCCACCTTTATATGTGTTGTCAGAGTCAGGTTGCTCAGCTTGCACAGCAAGGATCTTTGCCGGCTGGACTCTCTCCATCCTGTTGGGGAAACATGCCTTCTCTCACTTAATGACAAGA